GAATAGGACACATTGCAAATTATTGTTTTTCAGATGTCATTATGTTGAGCTGGGCTAGGGGCCAATTCACACCAGTGCGTTTTAGCGCAGCTGTAAAACATAGAACAGAAGGACATCTGAAAAACAATAATTTCCAATGTGTCCTATTCACACCATACTGTTGCATTGTGTTGTACTAAAATGCAAAATTATTATACAGGATTTATATAGCACCAACAGTTTGAGCAGCGCTTTACAATATAAGGGAGACAGTACAATTACAATACATTTCAGTACAGAAGGAACATGAGAGCCCTGCTTGTAGAGCTTACAATCTAAAATGTATGTCAACAGACGTCAAAATTTTTGTCAACGAATGTCAAAATGTATGTTAACGGATGTCTGTGTCCATTAAAACACGGCTAAAAAGGATGGAAATGGATATGCATTTTAGTGCAAATCAGTATGAATTGGCCCTAAAACACAAATCAACAAACTGTTGTGAATTGGCCCTTAGTGACCATTTTCGCTGGTACTTAAAATGAGTGAAAATCCAAAATTTTCAGTTTTCACTAGAGCAAGAATAAATGGAAAATCTTCCAATAAGGGCAACTAGCCCTGGGCAATCATCCTATAAATTCTCCATAAGTGTTGGACAGATACATAAACATGTCCATATATGTATGGGTAGTGCTATGGCTTATTGAGGCCGTATATATGTTTTATTGTCATTTTGTGTCTGTTGTTTGTTATGTCACCAACAAAAAAAAAAGAATTAAACAAAACAACAGGGACAATTGTTACGCTGATAACAGTCTAAGAGGGCATTTCCAACAATTTGGAGGGATTTCTACCTTCCTTCTGGTGTACATACAACAGACAGAAAATGAAAGGGGATTTCCACAATGATGGCAAAAAAAAAAGAAATGAACAGGGGTTATACCTATGCCATACTCTATCCAAGTTTTGGCTTAAAGAATATGAAAACCCAACATTTCATATTCTATGTACCTCCTGTACCATGTACTTGTATGAAAAAGTATTCTGTTCTCTTTGTATTGCTGCCTTTGTGTAAAATCTCTGGTGTTCCTGCTAGTCCCTCTGTTTCCCGATTACAAACTAACCATGCTAGGCATGACAGCACATCGTGGCAGTGCCAATTTCATCGACCAAAATATTTTCGTCAACTAAATTAACACTAATTTAGTTGACTAAAATATGACCAAAACAATTCAGATGACTAAAATACAACTAAAACTAAAATGCCATTTAATCAAAAGACTAAAATACAACTAAAACTAAAATGGCATTTCAGTCAAAAAACTATGACTAAAACTAAATCAAATCTCTGGTGTGCCTGCTAGTCCCTGTGTTTCCCGATTACAAACTGACCATGCTAAGCATGACAACACATCGTGGCGGTGCTAATTTCATCGACCAAAAATATTTTCGTCAACTAAATTAACACTATTTTAGTCGACTAAAATATGACTAAAACAATTCAGATGACTAAAATACAACTAAAACTAAAATGGCAATTAATCTAAAGGCTAAAATACGACTAAAATTAAAATGACATTTTAGTCAAAAAACTATGACTAAAACTAAATCGAAATTTTAGGTCAAAATTTAAATTGCACTACCACATAAGAAAAAGTGGGGGGTGTCTATTAAGCTGCTGAAAGAAAAAAAAAATAAAAAAAATGGCTTTTCTTATTTTTTTCTTAATATTGAATGTTGGTAATATATTCAGGTAATATGTGTAAGCTGTCCTACTAACGGTTCCCCAACAGCTAGCTAACAAAACTGACAGAAGCAGCATTGTGTTTCATTCCAAAATCGAATTTACGTCTGTAAATTGCTCTGTGAAACTGCAATACCATCACATAAACTGAAGTTACAATATGCTTGTATTGTAATGTAGATGTCTCTCACAAATACCTACAATCAACACTTGTCTTGCAAACAGTTACCTACAAATTACAATGAACACATCTGAATGCGATCTAGCTATGTATGTAACTTTGACAAACACAATGAAAGAACCTACAGGCATATGTGTATCAAAGGGGGAATGGAAGAGACCTTCATTGTTGTTCTTCTAGAAGCTAAAAAAGCTGCAGTGGTTAAGGGGAAATTTTTATTCTTTAGCAAACATGAGATACCAAGGCTATGTTCACACTAGCATTGTGTGCAGGCGGCAGAGAGGCGTTTGGGAAGCGTTTTTACCGCGTCCCAAACACCTCTGCAAATTCTGCACATTACAGCACATGGTGCTGTTCTAACGGGAGCGTTTGCGTCGCGGCAAAACGGACGCCTCTGGTTGAGTCAGGAGGTGTTGAAGCCTCCTATTCTCGTCTATGGTGCTGCTCCGCAAACGCCCGGCCGGCGTTTGCAGTGCGGTTGCGACACGGTTGTGGGACGTTTGCGGAGCGGCAACACCACTCAAACTGCATTATAGGCGTTTGTGGGGCATTATTAACGCTCGGCAAACATCTAGCGACCGCCGCTAAACCGCGCATGCGGTGTTTGCAGAGCATTTGCCAAGCGATAAAAAAAAACGCTCCGCAAAAACGCCGGACCAACGCTTGCCAAACGCTATAGGGGCGTTTGGCAAGCGTTGGTCAAACAGCCAAGTGTGAACGAGCCCTTACTGTTCTTTATTGATAAGGGTGCAATTACAATGAACGCCTAATAGATGGCTCCCTACTCAACACAATCATGTGAATACAGAACAATGTCCAATGGAATTACAGCCATTAGAGTTTACAGTTTTAGGGGTTTTTTATATCTTAAAGTTGCACTTCTGTTTGTCAAAAAGCAATGCTTTTGTTTATAAAGACGTTATATATCACAACGGCTAAATCTGTGTCTGTGGTGTATGTTCAAACCTTAATACTATAAATAATAGCATGTTATTAGATTTTTACTCCAAAAGTATATAATGAGTTTGTAAATTCTAGAGAAATACTTAAATAATGCATAACAATTTAAAGGATAAGTTCACCTTTTGCACAAAAATAATAAATGCAGATTTCTTTGCAGGTAAACAAAATGTGAATTTATTATTTTTGTCTGCAGGAGCCTGGAAAGCATTGCACCAGCGATCAGTAGATCGCTGGTGCCATGCAGGTCTTCTGCAGATCTGTCAGTATATCTGCTCATCCATACGGGATGTACGAGCAAGAAGATATACCGAGCAGAAGATTCAATGAACTACCACGGCGCTCCCTAGCGTCGTGGTAGATCATTGAAAACTACAAGGCTTATGGGACTTGCAGTTCATTCATTCACGAAAGTCTGCGAATGAATGATGCTGCCGAGTGGGACGTTTTCAAATCTGACAGATAGTACAGGGAACTTCTCCTTGTACTTCTGTCGGGGGGGGGGGGGGGGGGGGGGGGGGCAATGGGCTGCAGCATTAGGAACATGTTACATGTTCCCATCCTAAAAACGGGAGGAACATGTAACATGTTCCTAAAGGTGAACTTGACCTTTAACTAAACCCATTAGATTTTAGTTGCTAAAATGTACTGGAAATTTTAGTCAACTAAAATACAACTAAAACTAAAATAATTCAGATGACTAAAATACATCTAAAACTAAATTGGCATTTTATTCAAAAGACTATGACTAAAACTAAATTTAAATTTGATATTAAAATTAACACTGTAACGTGGTCAGTTTTCTAGCTGTGCTAAGAATGCAGCCTGAGCTCTAATGATCAGATGTTTGATGATATGCCCCCATCTGCACAGCTATTTACTGTGAAGTTCAGTGTGCTGCTGTTTCATTCCCCTAGCTCTCATTATATCCTTGTGCAGCTGAACACAGAGTATGTGAGGGGAAAAAAGGTATTTATAATGCTTATATGAATACACACGTGCTGACTTTAATTTTTATTTTAAACTAAATGGGTTGTTTTTTGTAAGGTGAGGGTTTACATGTACTTTAAGATACATTTTAACCTAAAAAGTTATTTTAATCAAAGGAGCGGTTTACAGGTGTGAAACTGTTTAAAGTACCCATGTCTGTGCAGACATTGAGGAATTTGTTATTTATGTAACATGGACAAAAATGTAAAATATCTCAGTCAGGTCTAGAAAATTAAATGTCAAATATCTCAGCCAGGTATAGAACATTTACAGAAAAAAAACAACTATTTGGGGGATAGTATGGTATCCCTTTTAAAGCCATGTAATTTTTCTGTAGTGGCCCTGTAAGTTAATAACCTATTTAAAAATACTGTATTTTGAATTTAATCAGAAACAAAGTATATGGTTAATATATAAAAGCTGAGCATTTCGGGGTAGTAAAAAAATTCCAAGCTGGCCACTGGTGCCTGGAGCATAGTGTGAAGGCTGGGTGACTGACAGTTCTAGCCTGTTATACAGGCTGCAGCTTGAGAAGGTATGCACTACAACATGAGCTAAAAAGAGAGGGAAATGGGATTCCTGCCCAACGCATCATATTTGTAAGGATTATAGGGCTCCCGCATATGATGTGATTGCTCACATCACATGTCAAAAAACATTTTTACAATGTCCTGCTAATAATGGCTTCTTTTTCAAATGAAGAAGTCAGTGATGTAAAACAAGTTAAGTTCAGTAGACAAGATCTAACTCAATGTCCACAGGTTTACTTTAGAGTCAATCTGAACTAAAAAAGTGATTTACTATGTTATAGGTAACTTCTAGAAATGTTAAGTGTGCCTAAGCAATATTCTGTCTTGAATGTTTTGCTAATGAATAGCAGTGTAATTCCTGTGCCTATAGCCCCATTGATGTGTATCTGTACTGCTGACTCCAACAGCGAGTCTCAATAGATTTGAAGTAAGATTTGTGATGTCACTATTGTGCTACTCTTTATTCTCCTTGCTGGAGAGGATATGCAGTGCAAGAATCTCCCTGCTTTTGTTTCATTTATTCTGTGGATCTGTCCTTTCTCCATCTCTCCTGCTGTATCATTTTCCAACTCTCCAGGCCCTAAGCTAAGATTGAATAATTAAAATTAATTCTTACCTTAAACAAAGATTTGTCTTGAAATGGCTCACATACCAGCTTTTCAACATTTCCACCAGTCAGGAATGTGACCATTACAACAAGCATAAGGACCCAGGAGAAGATGAAGCTGAATCCAACACCACTGTGAAATAACAAATATAGATGTTATTAACCACTTGGCCTGCTGAGGATTTACTCCCCTTCCTGACCAGGTCATTTTTTGTGTTATGGCACTGCGTAACTTTAACTGACAATTGCGTGGTAATTTACGTCCTCACGAATGGAGCTTTTTTTGGTGGTATTTGATCGCCTGTGCGTTTTTTATTTTTTGCGCTATAAAAAAAACAACAATTTTGAGGAAAAAAAACTATATTTTTGACTTTTTGCATTTAAATATGTCCAAAAAAAAAATCAAATTTCATCATAAAATTTAGGCCAAAATGTATTCTGCTACATGTCTTTGCTAAAAAAAAACCCAATACATGTAAATTAATTAGTTTGCATGATAGTTCTAGTATTTACAAATGGCGGTATATATACTGGAATTTTTTTTTCTTTACTAGTAATGGCGGTGATCAGCGACTTATAGCAGGACTGCGGCGGGCATTCTGACACTGGTTGGAACTGACTTGGTGTCATTGAGTTCCAGAGGATAGGAAAAGCTCTTGAGAAGTCCTGGATGCAAACATGGGAGGTGGAGAAAAGGGAGCTAGACAGCAGGAAGCCTTGGGAAGAGCAGAGAGGAGATTTTGGGTGATACATTAATACAATATTGGTGATGTAGCTTGGTTGTTGTTTGGTTTTTTTTCATTTTATTTGTTGGGCAAATTGGGAGCCAGTGGAGGCACTGGCAGAGAGGGGTGGTGGACACTGATGTTACAGAGGCGAAGTCTACATGATTGGAGCAGTGATTGGATTTGGACCTGAAAAGACAGGTCAGAGTCCAGCATTGCACCTAGCACCCTGGCATGAGGGGAGAGACTGATAGCTGTATTATTGATCCTGCTGGAAAAGTTGTGGAGAAGGACACAGGTTGGAGGGGATTTTATGAGCTAAGTTTTGGAACAATATTGTTTGATATCATACTGATATGCTAGAAATTAAGCAATGTGAGAGGAAACTGAAGGGGTGAGGTGAGGAGTAGATGGATAGATTTGGGTGTCATCAGTATAGACATGGTATTGGAAGCCATGGGAGGTTATCAGGTCACCAAATGAGGAGGTGCAGATGAAGAAGAAAAGAGGTCAGAGGACATAGCCTTTAGAGACCACTATAGAAAGCGGAAGTGGGGAAGAGGAGACAACACTGAGTTGTAGGCAACACTGAAGAAATGCTAGATAGATAGATAGATAGATAGATAGATAGATAGATAGATAGATAGATAGATAGATAAGAAGAAAAGAGCAGAGTCTTGCAGGTCACAGGAGTGAAATTTTTCGAGGAGGAGTGGGTGGTCAACATTATCAAAGACAGTCGAAACATCTAGTAGTGTGAGTAAGAAGTAACGGCTATTGGTTTTAACGGTTAGCAATTGTTAGTGAGTGTTAGTAGGCTTGTTTCTGTGGAGTGTTGCAAACAAAAGTCAGACTGGCATACACTGTAGTCATGGTGAGCTATACCTGATAGTAACACTACACTGTATATAGTATATCAAAAGCCAAAATATTTTTTTTCATTATTTTCATTTTGGATAGAGTAGGGTTAACTTTTAAAACCCTTTAATATTTTTTTTTCTTCTGAGTCCCGCTGGGGAGAGTTCCCTATAGCTTCCTGTTCTGTAGACACACAAGGAAGTGAGAAGAAATATTTCCAAATTACACAGCTGTCACTGGAACAAGTGTCCCCACTGAAAACTTTCCCCTCTATTCCTGTTCTGGTGACAACTCAAAATTTTGGATTTACCATCTCTTTCAGCCCTAGTGAATGTGGCCATGGGGGCAAGTAGAGAGACATATCTCCCTAGTGGTGACATAGCAATGAAAACATGTGCTACAGCCCTACCCAGTTTCCACCACCATCCCAAATGACCCCTGATTGCATAAAGTAGGCTTGAGCTTTGAGTTTATTTTAAATTCAGATGGCAATGCTGATCTTGGTTGGTAATGTGGTTCCTTTTGGCCCAATCTTAGTGCTTGTTTCTATCAATTGGTCCCCCAGCTTTAGTCCCCTTTCACATGAGTGGGCAGATTGAGTCCGCCTGTTTCGTTTTTCAAGCGTACCTGATCGGACGCGCCATTGTCTCTATGAAGCAGTGGCTGTAAATGGACATTTGTCTGTTTGCACTCACCTGCATCAGACCTGATCCTGTCCACTAAAAACAGATGGATGTGGATCTGTTCCCCATCCGTCTGGCTGATCGGATCAGAAATTGGACAGGTGGTCCATTTTCATCCAACAGCCCATAGAGGATAGTGGGCTATGTCCATGTCCACTTTGCATAAGCAGAGCGGACACAGACCTGTGACAGGGACCTTACTGCACATTAGCCATCATGTCTTGCATTAATGATGGATAAAAAACAGCCATATGCAGGTTGGATATAAGGCATTCTATGCTATGTATTCTACACAGTAACCCACCATTTTTATATGGAGAGTTGGTTGAAGCATCACAAAGAAATCATTTTCATGACACCACTCACTATCCAAAATTATATTTATTGAAAATGACTTCATGTATATACCATCTGCACTAGCTTTTCTGGGTCACATAATATTTTTAACACATTACTAAATGAAATTGTTATTGTTTATTCTATTTTTCAATAGCGAATTTTAGCAGAGCTGTAAAATTATACCTCCACTTTGTTGTAGAAGCCTATTACTGATTTTGCCTGAAGCAGTGAAGTTATTTATTAGATGCAGAGATGTCAGGCAGACTGAGACATGTACACATGGTATGCACAGCATGATGACCTAAATGGGACAGACATGTAGATTTTAGCTGTTTATTTAGAGAAGCAGAGTGTATAGCTGGCAGCGGCACTGTCACTGTCAGGGGAAGTCAGCCACTATGACACCTATATTCACTGGCAGGAGCCTTAGCATATTATACATGCCAGCTCACATCTGTACATGCTTGACCAACCTCTGAAAAGCTTCAAGCAAGCCTTCACCAACGCTCATAGAGTACCGCCAAACATGAACTATTTAGCATATAAATAAAGTATTTGGTGCAAAATCAGAGAACAAAATCTTGCTAAAGTCTGTCTGCTGGTGACAGTCATATGTCAACCCGGTCTGCGTGTGCCAACCTCCAGTGGGAACGGTTCATGATTGACATAAAGGTTTAGCTGCTGACTTTGCACATCAATAACAGGGCTGTTTAGTCTGCAAGTTTTCTGGAGAGTCTCTGCCCATTTCTATGATTAGGGAATAGAAAGGTTTGCATTTTTAATTCTTTACCAAGACATTGTTCACAATATACTATTGTTGTAAGACATTACATCCATGTTCATTCCAACAGAGAAAAAGCATTAACATCTTGTAGAAAAGATATCAAGTCGGAAAGCTGGTTTGAAAAATAATAGAAGGGTGCAATGGAAAATGATGAAATAGAGTCTGCATTGGTTATGTCTCTTCCCAAATGTATTGGGGGTGTTGGTGTAAATATAAGAAATTCTGATCAGGGGAATGGAGCAGGGGTATGTGGATGGGGAGAACGAGTTTTGAAAGGGGGGGAGAGTGGATGAATGCGAGACTAGGTAGTTTTAAGGACCACTTTAAAATGAGATGTTAGTTTTGGGTGGACAGAGGTTTCTTATAGTTCTTGGATCTTTTCACCCAATTATGAACATTTGCCTGTGCCTTAATACAGAACTGTAATATAGGTATAACTGCTTCTTATCTCGATGTCTCAGTAACTTGTTTATTCTACATTATCGAATAAGGGTAGTGTGATGGATTTGTACTGGCAGTTCTCAAAGGACAGAAATAACTTTTTTAATACTATGTTGAAAATCTATTGCTATCACAGTCCAGATCTGAACCTGAGACCTCTATGGTGGTCTGACTGTGGCTCTTCTCGCTGTGCCACCTGAGATGGTGGATAACATTCTGTCTGATTCCTTAAACAACCACCTCACTTTGTATATTTTTTTCTGGTGAACCGTGAACTCTTTGCTCCTCCCATGAAATTCCTATGTATGCCATGTCTGCACTTCCTATTTGCCAGATTATTGTGCTTTTTCCAGCCATTATCTTGCTCCTTTGCACACCTGCTGCTGTCCTTATCAACCCTAGTCTTATTCATTGACTAAGCTTCCGCCTGATTCCATCCAGCTACTACTCATTACTGACCTTTTGGCTTGCTCATTCACTATGTTTCCACCTGACCCAATCCAGCTGCTACACATTACTGACCTTTTGGCTTGTTCATCGACTATGTCTCTGCTCGTTCTCGATCTTCTTCATTCGCTATCTGACACCCCCTTGCTCATATCCTGCTTGGGCAATCCATAAGGTCACAACTTGGCATATACAGGCAGTAAAACCCATCTCCACCATCAGAATCTCTGGTGAAGACCAGCTAGTGCTTAGACTCTGACTCTGGAGAGCCTGCGTCATCCGATAGGGGGATCTGCTTGTGGGTCTATGCAGCTAACTACTTTGTAAACCTCTATACTGCTACAGCCGCTGGCCTCCGAGCCTGATCCCAGACCAGAACAATTTCAAGCAACCAATAAACTGGCAAAAATAAAAATGATTTTCTCATTAGGAAAGAAAATTATACTCTGCATGATGAGAGATTTTATCAGTTTAAATGATTGACCAGGGTACAAGTCACTGGAACTGCTGAGACACCTGTGTAAAATGTGCTACATCACATTACTGGCAAAGCAACATATTCAACATATTCATTGCAATGCTTCTCTCCTCCTGTGCTTTAACTTGTCCTCCCTGCATTTTACCACCATTCCTTTCTTCTACAGAATAAAATGTATAAAAGCTAACTGCCAGCTCAAACTATGGCACTGTGGTAACACACGTTAAAGCATGGTAATGTGCATGTTACCTGTATTGCGTCCTGGGGTGCCATTTGTTTCTAATGGCTCCCCATTGTGCCCAGGCAATAAACCTGTGTTGCAGTGCTCATCACAGCAACATGCCTGCCCTGCAGCTCACAGCAACGCAATATTGTGTAATGAAAGGATTTTAAATACTGTACATTCTTAGCATATTTAGACAACTGTACTGTCTTTCTCTTCCAGGAATTTGCGATAAGTGTTAACGAAACATTTCCACTTTTTTTGACCATTGTGTGATTTTTTCAAGAAAAGGAATAATAGCTTGCCCAGTTTGCTTTGGAATGCTTAAAAAAAAAAATAAAACAAACCCCAAAAATTAGAACATCCTTGGAAGTTCAGTTATTTTAAACCACTGACCATACATGGAATACTCACGCCATAAGGAAGTTGCCCCCAGTATTGGAAACACAGCCTCTAGTAGTCGGAGATGCATGCTGGTCATAACCGCAAGCGCCACATAGCAAACCAAGGAAATAGAAGACTACAATGAGCGTCACCATGCAGCAGAGAACGAGAGAACCCAACCACCTGAAAGTAGAAGACACTGTTAAGTTCAAGTTTTATTTGCAGCAGACAAACCATAAGCACTTACTTCATAGCATTCACTATTAGTTTATTACAGTGAAACTGCCAAATATTCACAATCCCCAGAGGACCCCAAGTTCCACTATACATATCTGTTCGTAAGAGGTTGTATTAATTGAAAAGGCTCCCAAAGAGCCATCTATGGTGAATTAAAATGTTAAGCTATTCAGCCATGAATCTGCACACGTATAACAGATGAGGTTTACATAGTGCTGATTGACAGGGGAACCTAACTGTTTAAGGAAGCCAACATTCAATGCAGCCATGAGCTAATATACACATGCACTGCTCTCTGCTTTTGTACATGTATCCATTGCATTCACGTTAGTGGTAGTCAGCTTACTAGATATAGGGGCCCTCAACTGTGATACCCTGGCTTCCCTAAGGGGTTGTACATAATATTCCATAGACTGTATGTAGTTATGTAATGCTACAGAGGATTGTCAGAGACTGCTGACGCACTTCTGGAGATGGCCAGAGAATGGAGACATTGTACAGGTGTAGCTGACGGCTGGATATTTTCTGTAGGAGACTGTAATGCAGGCCATAGATGGGGAGAAAACCGCCCGATTTTTCTTTAAAAAAAAACGAAAAATCGGTTGTTCAATCGGCCGACGTTACCAGTAACGGTACAAAAAAAAATCATCCGATTTTCATCCAGTCTACAGCCAGCAAAAAGTGTCCCTGCAAAGAGCTCCGCTATTTCTTTGACAGTTCTTTGACATTTATAGCGGCTGCAACATTGTATCTATTTGTATCCATTTCGGATACAGATATTTTTATTCGGAAACAAAGAGATACATTGTTGCAGCCGCTATAAATGTCAAGGAACTGTCAAAGAAATAGCGGAGCTCTCTGCAGGGACACTTTTTCCCGGACTGGAATTCTTCTTCTTCTTCATCCTCTTCTTCTTCATCCTCTTCTTCATCTTCTTCTTCTTTTTGTCTTCCTCTTGCAGGTCACTGCTCATGCACAGATTTTTTATCGGTAAAAAGATCGGCCGATTTGCCCATCATTGCCGCGAAAACCGGCCGATCTGCAGAATCGCCCGATTTTTTTCAAACTTTACCGCTAAAAAAAATCTACCAAAATACCGAGAAACGGCCGACCTATTAACCCACTAACGATCTGAAAATCGGCTGATTTTATTTTCGGACGAAAAATCGGCCGATTTTCGACCCATCTATGGCCTGCATAAGAGACTGAGGACATGCTGCACACGAAAGTGAGAGATCACTGCCATTGCAGCCTCGTTACAAATCAATGCTCCCACTACTGGATGCTGGTGCCCTGGGGCTGAATAACCAGTATAAAAAGGTCACAAGTTGGGGACAAGGGAGTTGGCGTGTGTACTGGATAAAAAAAGCCACAAGCTTTACTGTAATTTGGCTCAATGAAATCATAATTTTATCATTGTTTATCTCTAACATACTAGGAGAGGATTTCGTGTTTCTTTAAAATCAATTATTCAATTTGTAAATTTGTTGATAGACGATTAAATCATAAACACATTAATTGCCAAGTCATTTCACTCTAAATAGGACTCCAAAGGGGTGAACGGTCATCCACGTAGTAGTCAGAATATCACTGCTGTCACTGTTTATATTATATTAATGACATAAGTCATTAGACCACGTGCAGACTACAGACTGTACCCGGAGCAAAGTTTATGACCACTTTGTAAGCTAGATAAACAGTACACCTCCTTACATAATACAAGAATGCAGTCATCAGTATCAGGAAATGGCATTTAAATGGAAACAGAATGCAAACCTGTTTCTTCTGCAGACAAAACACCTACAATAAATAAAGCTAGAATTCATTCTTGTTTAATGTATTGCTGACATGGAACAGTCTCATGTTTTTATGTTTCCCCTGGAAAACTCCCTGCCAGGTTTTCACTACTTTTCAGTCTCCTTTCTCTTTTTCTAATTTTTTATTGAATATTCCTTTTCCTGCACTTTTACCTTGTGTTTTTATTGTGCTCCCCAGCACTTAATGTGTATTTGCTTTAAGCAGAATAGTTCAACACCGACAAGTGCATCCTGCCTTGTTGATTCAACAGCAATAGTATGCAGTAAATATGCAGCCTTTTTATTATCAATAGATTCCCTAGTTGGACACCTCACCTTGAAGACCATTAGGACTTCTTGGATCCATATCAGTTTTATGACACTTGGTAGACAGACAATGGGGTTTAGTAGAACATAAAAAGGATTAGACCTCTGTTAAGTTTTTATTGCAGCTTGTGTCTACATTGTGGAGATAAATATAAAAAGTCCAGCACACTCCATACAGAAATAAGACCCAGTCCTAAGAGTGTGTTGTGGCAAAATGGCACAAAAGTCCAATTCAAGATGTTGCCAGTACACCATGTTTAAATTATCAGACGGAACACTATAATGTCACTAACAGAAAGCAGCAAAGTTCTGAGGCCACTAGGGGCCTTTTCCTGGCTGGGGAAATGTCCCTAGTGGCCTCAAAACATTTCTGCTTTCTGTTGGTGATGTTAACTGTCCTTTTTATCAAGCATAGTGTACTGCTGCTATCTCGGATTGCACATTGTGGAGATACACATTCATTCCTCTGCCTGGGACAACTGTCAATAGGATGGGAAAATCTTCACAGCAGGGTTGGAGCCAGCAATAGTCACTTGGAATTTCCCCACATGGCAGTCTCCTGGTTTTACAGAAAAAGGGTTAACAGCACCTCGCTATCATGAGTGATTAGAGGAAAATGACCAAGATTGTTCAAGGTCACAGGAAGTCCACAAATTATTTAACACTTATTTTCTACAAGTGCTCCTGTCAACCAAGGACAGGAATGGGGGCTACAGAAGGCACAGGATCACCAAAGCTGATTGACTGAAGACTGAGAAAATGTTGGCTGGTCTGAAGACTCTGATAATGCCTCCACTGTGTCTTGCAGATGGTAAGATCAACGTTTGGTTTACCAAACTAGAGTCCTTCAGGATGAGATGATATGGGAAGTTTGCAGCATGCACCCGAACTGTATATGACATATACTTTTATGCACGTACTGTATGATGCCTTGGTGTCAACATGAACCAAAATCCCTATGAAAGTTTAATCCATGCTCAGAAGAATGTGTCCAAGTCTGAAGACACTTTTCAAAGACTACCCAATCACATGTAAGGAAAATGTAAAAAAACAGCATTTTTGCTTACACATGATTGGATAATGGAAGTCAGCAGAGATTCAACCTCATTTACTGTGCTCTGGAGCAACTGCACTTCCAAAGTGTGCAGTGCCTTTAGTAAATCGATCCCTTATTTAATACCTTTGACCTGGCAAACGGGTGATCTGTACACAATGTACAGGTAAAAGGTGCTCTATTTTTAAAGTGACAGGAATGGTTTACAGCTATGATTTTTGGGACCAATTTCACATTATCACATTTGAATCCTTGGTCTATTCCACTGTGTTAAATGGAATATACATATTATACATCCTAAAGCAGTTGTCTTCTGTGACATGTATCAAACAACCTAAATGAAAAAAAAGAAAAGAATAATAAAAAATACTAATACCCCTAACCATCCATCATTATGTAACATATGGGATGTAGCAAATGTCTAATAACATCATACAACAAGCTTGGGTTCAAACCTTAACATTCAGCCTCGTAAACCTGCCATTTTACATCAATCTCTTCAGTCAATCTGACAGGAATTTGAAGTAATTTGCATATATATGTCCCAGTGTGGGATGTTTATGTGTTACATTCCAGTGATGATCATAGGAAATATTAAAATATGAGGAATGTAATGCAGCTCTCTGTGCAGAGTATTTTGGATAAGGCTAATTCACACATAGAGGTTTACAATATCCTAGAAAAAAAATATTTAAAGTGTTAAAGCAGTCCCAGCTACTAACAAACTCTATTTACTCAGTGTATGATAGATTTTCTGGGCTTTGCTTTATGACCAACAATTGTTTCTATGCATCAGCATATTTGCAAAGGTTTCCAGCTAGCAAATATTTTCTTATATGATGGTATCCTGAGAACATGCCAACTCTCACATTCAATCACAGTATATGCTCAAATTCAGAAATGATTCTATAGGCAGTAACTTATTTTTATTAAATTATAGTTCTTGCAATTTCTCAGAATTTTGTTATATTATGCTAGAAAAGTTATTTTCAATGGATTTCTACCAAACCTCTACATCTCAGTATGTGGAAAAAATTAATTAATCAAACTTAACTCTTATATAAATTAACATATGATGCTAAGGGCTGCCCAGGGAAGTTTCATAAGATAAGGGGACCCCGGCTTAAAACCCAGGACACTACAGACTCCCTTCTTTACTTAACTGCAGTCTCCTCATCTTAGAGTTTCTCTGCTTCCTTTTCTGTAAGGTCAATTAAACTGTATACATTTTTATTGCCTTTATATTGTATATCTGAAACATGCAAGACTCAATTGGAGCAGTAAGGACACAGCTTCTTCAGTTTATTTTATTCCGATTATGTGTGGGTGCTGTAACAGTTGCCATAGCTCATTTTGTCATTTGTTCAATATTTAATTGATGTTCTGTACTTAACAACTTCTATGATATCTTTGAGTATTCACTATAGATACAAATATCTCTTGTTCTGACCCTTTTTGTATTATTCTCAAAGCTGTGATGTCAATATGTGAGAGAGTGGTGTGTAACGTTACTCCCGTAGGTGCCACTGAAGTACTGTCCCAGTTTCCCCACAATCTGCACCCCACAGCAAGGCACACAGGCTCATTCACATGTTTCTTCAATAGTCAGTCTAGGGGGTGTTGTTTTTATTTTTGGAGGACTTGGATAGGATTGAGGGAGATAGGTGAGATATTCCAAATACAAGAACTATGTACACTTAAAGACTTACGTATTCTTCAGAATAGGCTATAATAAAGTCTAAGCTTTTAGCAAGCAATAGGCATCAGCTTTAAAGCAGTAGTAAGGAGTAAATGTAACCTCCTTTCTTTGAGCCATGTGAGGAGAGTCCCTTTAGGTAGAATACTATCTGGACAAAGCTCAGCAGGACACCAGCTCCAAAGCTGACTCTCTAGCACTGGGGGGGGGGGGTGGCAAAAGCACAAAGGTCCCCAAGATCTTTCAGAAGTGTCTGTACTCACACAAGGCCTAAGGCACTTGGCTGTCTCCTTCCAACTTCCAACCGACACCTTACTCCGGTGATACCAGACCAGATCTTTAGCAGACAGCTCTTTTTAGTTCCAGGACCTCAGCATCCAGGACCTCAGGACAGCAGACATAACAGCATTGCCTGGGAGGGCAGTGTGCCCCCTCCAGGCTGGACTAATCCTCTCCAGGAAAAGATCCCAAGCTAAGGTGCTCACCGAATATATACAATCTCCCAGCATGCCATCAGAGCCTGCCTGTCTGAGACAGGCCAGAGCTGTATCAATATTCATGCTGCCATCTGCAGAGCTCCACACCAATCATCCAGGAAATTCTAAAGCTCTCTGGATACAGAGGGAGCTATCAGACTGGCAGCAGCCAGGAGGAATCCTGCTCTGCAGAAAGGGAAAGGGACTGGCTGATTCAGTTGGCGCTGCTATATCTTGATCTGTAACTGTATATCCTGCGGTCACCTTGAATGATAACTGTACTGCAGATGTATTACAATAATGGTGCTGGTATATCTAGGCTGCAGACTGGGGAAACTGTATATAATGTTCACAACTATGTGCAGGTAGATAATTGTAGTGGTGAACTATAAATGTTCACTTTGTTAGTGGACACATGGGTTTCTCTCACCCAATCAATGTATTTGGCAGATTTCTGCGATCCATCTTTCCCAATGGGTAGAGACAGTCCACAGGCCCTCTGGTTCAGACTTGGTGTTCTTCCTCAGGACTCTTCCTCCATAGGTATAAGTACAGTAAGATCCATTTCAGTATGGGACACAGGTCCCTCTCCTCTGTCCTTGTAATCTCCAGATAGTGTCACTTGGAGTAGTAGCAGCAAGTTCCCTTTGATGAATGTACAAACTTTTTAAAATGTTACTTCCCTGGCTATCATTTTGATTCTTTGACTTCAGTGCACTCTGTGTTGTTGACCTAGAATCTGAAGTTCTGACACTTTTCTAATACTCATTTACAGCATGCTTGTTCTAAAGTAGGGATTCAAAAGGACTGAAGTCAGACACAACCAGGCATCTAGCATTTTCAAAAGAAGGCCTCCAATGACAGCCCCTGTACGTTTCTCATGACAGAACCACGTTAAGCTTACTATACATGCTGATTGTACAACCTCCATAAGCATTAGCAACATATCTTTAGAATTGGTAATACCTGTAAAAGTCGTATTGTTCAACCACAGGGTAGTAATCCCGAACAACCATCTCACTCTGCGTTAGGTATGATGTCAAATTTGATATGACATGAATAATTGGGATCATTTTTGAAAAATGTGTGATATTTACTCCAATGGAATGCAAGACCTTCTTAACATCTAAAAGAAAAATATACAGTTACTCTCATTAATAATATAGTTCATATTTTTTATTGGTAAATGGTAATTATGGGCAGCTAAGAACTACATTTCCCATGAGTCTCTGACTAAGGATTATGGGTGATATACATACTTATTAAACAAGACAGTGCAAAAACAATGAGGCTTACAAGGACCTACAACAAATATCCAGAAATCGATTTGTGTACTCAGCTAAAAAGCGTTTGTTGATTTCTGGTTCTTGTAGGTAAATAAACTTTGCATAGCTCAGTTAGCTTCAGTTTGCAACTGCTTATTAAAAAAGCTGGATGGTATTTGGGTGGTAGCGCTTTTGTCACCTATTAAAGCCCAGCTTTAGTTTTTAGTAAATGTTTTTATTGCTTTCTATGACTCAATTGGAAAGATTTATACATACTATACTTTTTAGCCCTGTGGCACCAGGATGGGAAAAGAGGGGAATGGAGTCCACAGGACAGGAAGCACTAAAAACTTTATTGCAGTTCCCACTGTACTAAAAATAATTTTTGATTCTATATATTTTTACCCTTTTGGACAGATTTTCCATCATTTTCTGTCCCTCTAACCCTCTGTGCCCAGGAAAGGAGGTGAGGGAAAAAACCCTAACAGAGGTTCTACCCCTTCCCTGGGCTTTAAAGGGATAAACCACCCAGAACTGATATTTCAATGTGTGAGGGAACTTAAAACCATCAGCAGCCAACCAGAATTGAAACATCAGCTCTGCCTTCAGCCATACAATGTTTTACTTAATTCAATAAAATGATGTAATGAGAAAGGAAGAACAAGCCACAGAGTGAAACATGAACACCACAAAACACACATGACACAAACTCAAATGATGCTCAATGGACCTTTGGACGTACAGTCAGAGTTTTCTTTCAAGATTGAATATTTCATGAAATGTTTTTTTCTCTGTCAGTTTTGACTTCAGGTTTTGGAATTTAAGGCATTTTTTATACTTTAGCCCCTGGGACTTATCTCCAAGTAAGAACATTCATATTCTATCTGTGATGTTGAGACTTGAAAGAGACTTGTTTTATAAGAAATAGCTGTGTTTTATAATTTAAACCTTGACCCAGATCCTTGTAGGATATTGTGCAGAGTGCACTCTCCTAACATACACAAATTAGAATATCACAATAATGTATGCATGTAGAGGCCGATATATTGTTATAATTATAACAATTACAAGATTCATTAAATTCACTTAAGAAAGAAAAAAATATAATAATTTTTTTCAAAATAACATTAATTGTGGACATAATGTGATCTCTATCTCTATTAAGAATGAAAACTATGACCCACAGGTCATGAACTGTTTAAAATTTCTCCTAGATTTTGTACCTCGGCCACATTAAAGAAAAGTAAATTATGATATTTTGCAGAGAATAAGTTAAAGTGTATGTAAATAATTTTCTCTCTTTTGATCCATTTTGGTTTAATAAATATACAATTGAAAGCATGTTGTTATGTCTTTCACATAGTGCAAAAATACCTACAGAGCTTGCCAGAAATCTTGTGAGCCAATAACATCCTGTCCTTACTGCCTCTTACTCTTAGCAACTACATTATTTTCGCCTATCCCTAAAGACTACAGAACACCTTCCTACTATGGAGGAGGGAGCGGAGAAAGGGGTGTGAGAGAGAGGAGAGGAGTGTGAGTGGGGGGAGAGGAGTGTGATAGGGGGGACAGGGGTGTGAGAGAGGAAAGAGGGGTGTGAGAGAGGAGGTGAAGAGTGTGAGAGAGGAGACAGGGGTGTGAGAAGAGGGAGAGGGGTGTGAGAAGGGAGAGAGGGGTGTGAGAGGGGGGAGAGAGGAGTGTGAAAGAGGGGAGAGAAGTGTCAGAGGGGTTTGAGGGGGGGGACAGGGGTGTGAGAGGGGGGGTGTGAGAAGGGGGAGAGGGGTGAGGGTGTGAGAGAGGGGTGTAAGAGAGGAGAGAGAGGGGGGAGAGGGGTGTGAGAGAGGAGAGAGGGGGGGGGGGGTGAGAGAACGGGGAGAGGATGTAAGGGGGGAGGGGGTGTGAGAGGGGGGAGAAGGGTGGAGAGGGAGGAGAGGAGTGTGAGAGGGGGGAGAAGAGTGTGAGAGAGGGGAGGGGGAGTGGGTGAGAGAGGGGGAAGGGGTGAGAGAGGGAGAGAGGGGAGAAGAGTGTGAGAGAGGGGAGAAGAGTGTGAGAGAGGGGGAGGAGTGTGAGAGAGGGGAGAGAGGGGAGGGAGAGTGTGAGAGAGGGGAGAAGAGTGTGGGAGGGGGGAGGAAGTGATGTGGGGAGGGGGGAGAAGAGTGTGAGAGAGGGGAGATGAGTGAGGGGGAGAGATGGGAGAAGAGTGTGAGTGGGGGGAGAGGAGTGTGAGTGAGGGGAGAGGAGTGTAAGAGAGGGGAGAAGAGTGTGAGAGAGGGGAGAAGAGTGTGAGAGAGGGGAGAAGAGTGTGAGAGGGGGGAGAAGAGTGTGAGAGGGGGGAGAGGAGTGTGAGAGAAGGGAGAAGAGTGTGCGAGAGGGGAGAGGGGTGTGAGAGGAGAGGAGAAGAGAGTAGAGGAGAGTACAAAGAGACTTGGGTGAGGGTAAGCTGCTCCTCCAAAGATACAGTAGAGTGAGCATTGTCACCCTCAGGCAGGAATTGTATTACTGGCAGGATCACCAGATAAAAAATAAAGGAAAAAAAAACCTGACAAAGGAGAACTAATGTAGACACGACATCTAAGGACTGAAAACTGCAATATATCACATTAATATTCTTTGGTTTAGATATGCCCACTCAAACAGATGCTTTAGTTTAGTGCAATTCCACTACTGACCAACAGAAACTGAAAACTAGAAGCTGAAAAGTAATAAAACATTCACGTCAGCGTGTGAGGAAATGCCACAATGCATCGTTTGCCATGCTGCTTCTTTTGCACGCAATAACAGAAAAACAGAATAAAGAAAGCTCTGACTTTACGGTATGAGAAACACGTTGACTCCTCTGGAACAGTATTATCTTGAAGAACTTACAAGGAATAGCTGAGATATTAATCCAAAAACAGGTCCAAAAAGATTTTGTTAGTAATGAAAAACAAAGCATGGCATTAGTATTTATACTTTTAATATAGTATTTGCACAGAAAGATTTTAGAAACATTTCAGTGTCCATCCTTCATTTCATATGTACTTTTCTTTTTTATTAAAGAGAGACTCATGTCTGGCACGAGGTGATAGTGGTGAAGGTGGTTTCCTCCGTGAAGATAGACATCCATCAGGGCCTGAGCTATTCTTTATGGCAGACAATCTATATTTATCTAGTAATTGCAGACTACATTTTTAAATAGGTCACTGTCTTTTAAAAAAGGAGTGTATGGTGTAAATGAACTTTTGGATATTCACTTAAAAGAGATTGGCTTGATTTATTGGTGAGTGTTCCTGCTTTAAGGCCTCATTCACACTATAATCTTAAAATCGTTTTTTTTCTCCTACAGGAGTTTAGCAGCATTTTTAGGGAAGGTTCCTATATATTTGAAGACATAAGAGACTCTGCGGGTCTCCTCTTCCATAAAATGTATTTTGCTTCCTGCTAACAATTCTTTTCTAATTGTACACCAACTTCTGAGCATGTGCAGCATACAATCCAGAGTCAGGACCTGCAGCGATGTAACTCCCCTGTGCATACACAAGAGTTACGTCATCCGCGACCAACCAAGGCTGAATAAAGAAGACTCTGGACTAGGAGAAGATATCACTAGCAGAGTTTCAAACATCAGAGGAGGACACACTAAGGCTGGGACCACACCATGTTAATGTGTGTTACTTCAATGCAAAAGTGTGATCCAGGTCTTAAAGCTAAGTCTACTAGAGCTCTGGAGGCCCCACTTTGCTGAAATTAATCCTCAATGAATGACAAAGATGATCTTATATGCTGGTGGATAATTCAAAGATGTAATGGTATGGTTGGGCATAAAACAGATCCTACTAAAAAAAGAACTGAAGGGAAGTATTTTTTGGGGGATAGGGAGACAAGGGCTAGGAGTTTAACTTGTCATTTTGGCTCCATTACCTTACTCCAAGGTTCAAAAAGTCAAACAACAATGTGGCTTACTACCTGCTTGTATTCATCAGACAGGAAATTTCCAGCAGGAATCTATGTGAAATGAAGCCAAAGACAAGGGCAGCTTCATTACACAAAGGAGATCAGACTAGGATTTTGAACCTTGGACTGGGAGTACTATGGTAAAGTTAAAGTGAATGTATGGTCAATTTTAACATATCTTCTTTCATTTAGTATTATGGTCAGAAGCAAAAAAATACAATTTAAAAAATATGAATTTTCTTCAGTTAGACAAATATGAATCTCCCTTTTTTTTTTAAAAAAAAGCCTAGTATTCACAAAGTCCAATAGCTCCAAGTGAAATGCACAAGCCAGTTTGAGAAGTGACTCAAGCTTTATCAGACGGCTTCATTCAACATATTAATTAGACAAAACCAGTTCCAAGACAAGTAGTATCTGATGTGCATTCTCCATGGTGGGCTGTTAACCATGTATCATTTCAAATCAGAGGTATGGTCCAAGCTTTTTTTTGGCCATTGCTTTTCTTGTGGGTCACAGGAGTGCACTTATTTTCACTCTCCTGAGACCCAGAACAGCCAACAGCGGCTATTGCCCGCTGTCAGCTGATGTCACAGAGCCACTTCAGACTCTGGCAGGATCACAACCATGTCAGAATCCACCTAGCTATCTGATTGACAACTGCCCCTAGCTCTCAGTGTGTGTCTGAGAGCTGAAACCAGCTGTGCCCACATCTTCCCAATGAGCACTGGGGGACTAGAGTGGACAGCAATGACTGATAGTCTCTGCTATGAGCAGACTGAGCAATCTGTGATTCTCAGTCTTAGGGCCAATGTGGGACAGGTACAGCATCACACTGATGATGCAGAATAGAGGCAAGTATGAAGGTTTATTGTTTAAGAAACCCCAAAGTTCTCTTTTAATGCTTATTTTTAAAATAGTTTGCTTGGAGTTCATCTTTAATAAGCAATTTACTACATATGTTCAGATATACTGTAAGTGCATGCTTTCTAAACATTTGAAATTGTCTCATTATTCTATGTTTTTCTTTCTCTTTCCTTTCCTTTTTTATCCCAAACTTGTAACACATGGCAGACAAACAAAAAGCTGCCCTCACTGCAACTTAAAATCAATCAGATGAGATATCCCAGATCTAAACTGTAAATGCTATTACTGTAATTTACCAGTGTCAGCAACCGCTAATTAGTGGGGAGGAAACGTACATTTCATAACTTGATTTACAACTTTGTGATTGTGACTTTTGGCATTGTGTACAGCAGTTACTTATATCTGCTTTATAACACTTAACAGAGTATTAGTTTGGATGGCTGATAAAAGTGCTGCATGTTGTTATTACAAGCCCGTGCAAAAGGCTTCTGGTAAGTCTCACGTAAATTCTTTGTCAGAACACCAAGCAATGAGCTGAAAAGCACGTAAGCCCACTCCAGAATTTCTTTCACCTGCAGTCTATTACTTGGCACATAAATATAAAGCACTGTAAAGTCGATGTTATTTTGTGGTAATAATGTTCTTTTTTTTCTCTGCTGCTCTTGGCTTTTCTACCATAAGATGATATTTTCCTGTGTATCACTCGTGATGGTTACAAACTTCCAGCAAACTTAGGTGCTTTTTAAAGCATGGTGGACAGTATGTGACACAGCTCTTTTTTGGCCAAAACACTTTTCTGTTCCCAGGGAACAACAGCACTAAGTAGTAACTGTGAACACACATGAAACACTTGAGTAGTGTGATTATTCCTCTCTATGGTGACCATTGTAGGACATCCTTCTTCATATTTTTTGTTGGCTAAAAACCTTTATATTTTCTGCTTCACCCAATATATGTCCCTTCTCAGCAAACTTCCAGATTACCTAAAGCAAATCTTCTCAATCCCTATGTTCATGCCACAAATCCCCCATTCCAGTAAACCCTTTCATCCATACTTCCTCCTCATAAACATTAGTGTTACCCCTTTTTTTTAATACCCTTTCCCCTAGCAAACTACACTTTTCTATTCTCTCCTAGCACCTTGTTCACTCTTCTACACCTTCACTCTTGGCCTTGGTCTCATTCATTCCTATAGGTGAACCATACTTTACTGGATGGCCAAAGGCCTCAATGAATATGGCTTATCCTTAGGTGTGAATGGGGCTTTGGTGGACATGTGCAGGAAGAGAGGACCTGACAGTAATGTTTTTACTCCAAAGACTGTGTGGTACCAGGCAAAGCCTCGCAGTGAAGATCACTGGAGCAGGAAGGTGGGTAAGTATTTTACAAGGCAGGCTGCACTCCGAACAACCTGGGGTGGTGGAATAAATGAAAGGAGAACTATATACTATTGTTTTGTATGTTCTTCATTGTGTTAGGGAAAAGATCTGAGACTTAGAGATAGTGTTGGAGCTTGCAACTAAGTTAGGCCCCCTCAGATAATATCCCAATAATATGATTGGCTGCATCACTGGCCAATAGGGCTACGCCAAGGGCATGACAAAGCAGGAAAACTTCTGTACTATAAGGAAATGACAGAGATTTGCCTGTCAGAACCCATATGGAAGAAAAATATATTTGAAATATATTTTAAAAATATTCTATCCCAAAATATATTGACATATATTTGAAATACTACAATTTTGGCCATATATATACAGTATATATTTATTGAAATATATTGAATATGGCCAAAATTGTAGTATTTCAAATATATGTCAATATATTTGGGATAGAATATTTTTAAAATATATTTCAAATACTTTTTTTCTTCCATGTGGGAATGACCCAACATCTGACTGTATCTACAAGTTTGTGAGGCTAATGCAGGTACCTCTAGGTGCCTGCACTTTATTCCTGCTGAAGTTTTTTTTTTTCACTTTTGTGTTAGAGTGTTCCTTTAACGTAGGCTTATACATAAGAATAATAAATAAAGATGTCCTACAATAACATCATCCCATTATTATAAGAAGCACTGACCTTCCTCGATGTTTCTCGATGTTCCTGGTCTGATTCTGCACCATTTCTGGAGTGCTATTGAAAGCAGCATACCCCTAGAGATATAAAAGTTAATAACAAAATCATTTTATACAGTCTATCACACCTATCTTTTTTTTTTTTTAATCATACACAGGTAAATGGTAATATCAATATAGTTGACAGTTCAATATTTAAAATGAAATAGCAAATTGCTTTGTATTTCTTCTATGACTTTGGCTCCTCTATTACCCCTCACTATATGTTAACAAGTGAAAAAAAAGGCCAATTTAAACAAAGGTGGCTTATACCTGTTGGCTTGTAAATGTGTTTCAATGGCTTTGTTAAACATATAAATAACAGAGTTTGATGTAAATGGCTAAATATTTAAATATCATCTTTTAACTACAGCACAAGGGTGGGTTCCTCAATGTTCAGTTAATCTTGATGATGGTACTTTAGTCTCCTGCCTAGGTATGCAAATACAACACAATGAATCCATTTCAACAATGATGGATGAGTTCAGGACACCTACACCTAGAACACCTCAGCAGTCATTTAGGCAACCACCATATGCCCCACCATATAGAAATGATACTTACTATCCTCCTACAACTAACCATTCCACATATCAAAATGAGAATTGGAATCCCACTCCGGTTCATTTTTTAGACCAGGAAAGCTCACGCAAAAGAAACGTTCGAGCAGGGGAAAAAGGGGAGGCAAAAGGGTCAACAAACCCAAAAAAGAGGAAACTATAAAGGAAAGGGATTTTTAATCTTAGTGGGAAAATATTAACTTCCCAAGAGTTGGATTTATTAGATAGGGGATTAAAATTTGCACCAAATAACAAATTGGACAAATTCCATACATATATTGACATACATAGATTTGTAAGATCAATATCTTTGAAAAAATATTTTCACTCGAACCCTATCGCTAGAAATAACACTAGCATGAACACTTATTCTAACCTAAGGAATGCTTCCCTATTCAATCCTCCCCCACAAAATTATAGTTATATTAATGCCTTCAAAGAAACGGTACTGAAGGATTTAGCTGCTGTGAAGGTAAAGAACCATAAAAATCAGCATGGGACTTCCAAAGCTATTAACTCCCTCCTTGACCAGAAAGACCTAGTCATAAGGCCTGCGGATAAGGGAGGAGGTTGTACTAATGAATAAAGATAGCTACAATAAGGAAGTATATAATATTCTTGGAGATGTAGACACATACTGCCGTTTACCAAAGAATCCTTTGAGTACATATAAAAAATCACTTAAAAACATTATTGCCAAAGGCTATTCGGATAATGTTATAAATAAGAAAGAGAAGGAGTTTTTATGTCCATCGGCTCCTAGGATACCAGTTATGTACATTCTCCCTAAAATACATAAGAACCTAGAGAACCCTCCCGGTAGACCTATCATAAGCGGTATTGGATCTCTGTGCTCTCGAGTAGGACAATACATAGATTATTTCCTACAACCGCTAGTACGGAAAACGCCATCCTATCTGAGAGACACTAAACAAGTGTTACAAGACATCCAAGGTCTTTATGTTGATAAGGATACATTTCTAGTTACAGCTGATGTGGCTTCTCTGTACACGAGCATTGACCACACAGAGGGTATGCAAGCAGTGGATTTTTATCTTAATGAATCTACTTTGCCTCTTCTTCATAAAAAATTTATACTTACCCTTCTGGATTTCGCTATGACTAGAAACTATTTTTGGTATGACAGTAATTTTTACCTACAAACTAGGGGCGTGGCTATGGGAGCGAAATTCGCTCCAAGCCTGGCAAATCTGTTCATGGCTAGATGGGAGGAGGACATTATATATGCCAGGGATTGGCCAGAATTATACTTCTATAGACGATATATTGATGACATACTGCTTATCTGGAAAGGGGATGAACAAACATTGGTTAACTTTTTCGGTACCCTTAATAACAACACTTTAAATATTAAATTAACCTTTGACTACAGTAAGATTAGTGTGAATTTCTTGGATCTGACATTAATGAACCAAGAGGGCACCCTAATAACCTCCTCCTTCTTCAAAGGAACAGATCGGAATGGATACATTCCCATTAGCAGTTGCCATCATCCACTATGGCTTTCAAACATACCGAAAGGGCAATTCTTAAGGCTGAGAAGAAACTGTACCTCTGTTGATACCTTTTTGTCACAGGCATCTATATTAAAAAATAGATTCTTGGAAAAGGGATACGATGAGATATGTCTTACTCGCACTATGCATGAGATAGGAAATATGGATAGAGATTCTCTGCTTGTTAACAATACCTCACAAAAGTCACAAAAAATCTGCCCCTTTGTTACTACTTTTTCTAGACAATACAGGACGATTTCTAGAAATCATTAATCAGAACTGGAAGATTTTGAAGGCGGATCCAGTGCTAACTAATATCCTTCCTGATAGACCTGAGATTACTTATAGAAGAGCACAATCTCTGAGAAATCTTATAGCCCCAAATATTATCGACCCTCCTAGGAACACTTCCTTTTTGAATAATATTACTGGTTTCTTCCCATGCAACAAGTGTATTATATGCACCTGTAATGGCAAAAGGAAAAAGAGGGTCGACAATTTTCTATCAACTAGTACTGGCAGGACATTTAAAATTAAAAACTTTATATCATGCTACAGCAAAAATGTCGTGTATCTTTTGCAATGTCCGTGCAAAAAACAGTACGTTGGGCGCACCATTAGAAGACTTAGGGATAGACCGTGAACACGTTAACAACATAAAAAAGGGCTTTAAAGATCATTCTTTATCATTACACTACAGGACCCATCATAACAGGGACCCATCTTCATTGCAGTTTGTGGGTATTGACACAGTGCAAGCCCATTGGAGAGGCATAAATAAGAAAAGAGCAGTCTCGCAAATGGAAACGAAATGGATATTCCAGATGGACTGTATGCGCCCCAATGGGACTTAATATAGAATTGGATATCAATAGTTTCATTGATAACAGCTGATTGGGACTATCTAGATATCTTTCTATATACACATATGTATTTTTGCCATTGATCCTAGTGTGTATTTCACTTAATATTATATAACTTTATTCCTTTGTTATTCTGATGATATATATTTTTTGTTATTCAGGTAATTTTAATATTTAATGTTTTATTATTCTAACTTTCTACATGCACTAATGACCGATGGGTCTACAGATGTATGTATTATTTTATATTTGTATTGATTATATATACTGTGGATTTATGTATTTTTGGATTTTTAGTATTCAGGTATAACTTTATATATATGGGTACTTATGTTTGGCAGACTTTTTTGCCAACGTTTACATATGTATGACCACCAGGTTCTCACATGAATATAATCTTTTAATTTTTTAACTTAATAATTTTTTAATTCATTTATGTGAATATAGTTTTTCATACGGAGTATCTATACATTTGCATTACTGTTGTTGTGATAAACACGGGCTATATAACATGAATTTGGATCTGTTCATTAAGATCCATCTTTGTTCTTGCCCATAATTATATTATCTTGGTTGGTTTCCACATAGGTGATCTATAGCGTCAAATTATTGATTTGATCATCTCTGGCGCTTATAGCATATGAGTGAGTCATCCCTGGTGCTCATAGCATTCGTTTCTGCTGGTTGTCTCTGCGTACCCGACGACAGGGCGTTTGCGCATGCGCCATCGGGTTGGGCTACAATAAAATGGCGCCCGTCGCGCGGACATTCAGCATAGGAAAGATGGCGCACGGCGTACTGCGCATGCGCCATCGCTCGTATTTAAAATTGTCATTTGCGTCCACCACTGTAAGCTGCACCCCTATGAGTACGAGCCTTCGCTCGAAACGCGTCAGGGAGAGCTACAGCAGGTTGGACGCTTCACCGCCGGCACCACGAGGGGCCCCGGCGGCCATCTTTGATTTTGCATCTGGGTCAGTAATTTTTTACATGTTGGTTTTCCTGCTATCCTTTGCCTACAATAAAGATACCTGAGGATATCACACTATGTGGCCTTTTCTGTTTATTTGAGTTCTGGTGGGAGCCAGCCAGATCCATGGAATAGCTGCATCTATCCGGATATCAGGCAAGGGAGGATATGCTGACCAGATTTGACCAGACCAGGATGATGACACAGGAGGTCCAGTGATATTATACACAAATGCGCATAAAGATTGCGTATCTGGTGAGTGCGCAGTCTTTACATTTTTTATCACCTGACGGTTCCTAATATTGGACGTCTGAGGATCATCCTGGATCTTAAGAGCACTCCTCCATTGGACTGTTTCACTTCCTTCACTTCATAGCCACCATCCAGTGGCTCTATTAGCACACAGTCACTGTTTTATTGTTTATTATCTGTGTTTGATTTATCATGAAAATGTGCTCACCTCAATCTAAGGTGTACCTAATGTCATTATACTAAATCAGCACTGCATTAAAAACACATAGGTGTAAATGTAGCCCTATGAGCTGCCTCGATTTACTGTCACTATAGCAGTTTTTACACCTGCATTCTATCCCTGTAGTAAACCCCAACCATTGCCATCTCTATCCCCCCCCTTCAATTCTCATACTGTATCCACTAATGTTCTTCATCAATGTGAAAGGGAGAAACCATTTCATGTTATCTAAGAAAGAAGTCTATTATTATACAGTTTTTATAAAGCGCCAATGGTTCGCTACATTACAAAGGGGGACAGAACATGTGACAGAACAATACCAATACAATGAAAAACATGAGGGGATTGAGGGCCCTGCTCTTTCGAGCTTACAATCTAGGAGGGAGAGGATAGTGGTACAGGAGGAGATAGCTGTGGGGGGCGGAGTGGTAGGAAGAGTGGAGGAGGTCGGCAGGTTAGCAGGGGGTGGGGTAGGCTTCCCTGAAGAGATGGGTTTTCAGGGTGTGCCTAAAGGAGAGGAGAGTAGGTGATAATCTGATGGGTTGGGGCAGGGAGTTCCAGAGGATGGGTGACACCCTGGAGAAGTCCTGGAGGTGGGCATGGGGGAGGAGGAGACCAGGTAACTAGAGAGAAGGAGGTCTTGTGAGGAGCGGAGTGTGCGTGCTGGGCGGTACTTGGATATTAGGTCAGTGATGTAGTACGGGGCAGTATGGTGGACAGCTTTGTACGTCAGTGTTAGGATTTTGAATTTGATCCGTTGCGCAATCGGAAGCCAGTGGTGGGATTGGCAGAGGGGGGTGGCGGAGATGGAGCGGTTGGAAAGGTGAATGAGTCTGGCAGCCGTATTCAGGATCGACTGAAGCGGGGATAGCCAGCGGCGAGGCAGGCCAGTGAGGAGGGAGTTGCAGTAGTCGAGTCGTGATATGATGAGGGAGTGGATGAGAAGTTTAGGGGTTTCCGGGGTTAGGAACGTGCGTATTTTGGCGATGTTGCGGAGGTGGAGTCTGCACGAGTTTGTTAAAGATTGGACTTGGGGCTGGAAGGATAGGTTGGAGTCCAGAATGACACCAAGTACTCTGGCCTGCGGGGCGGGTTTGATAGTGGCGTTGTTGGATGTGACGGAGAAGTCAATAGAGAAGAGAAGGGGCCCGAGGACAGAGCCTTGAGGGACCCCAACAGAGAGGGGGAGTGAGGGGGAGGTGGTAGCATTATAGGTAACGCTGAAAGAGCGTTGTGACAGGTAGGATGAGAGCCAGGAGAGAGCAGAATCTCTGAGGCTGAGGGAGTGTAGTTTTTTGAGGAGGAGGGGGTGGTCAACTGTGTTGAAGGCCGCAGAGAGGTCAAGGAGTAGGAGCACTGAATAGAGTCTATGAAAGAAGCACAGACCATATAAACTTGAGACTTTTTTTACAAGAGGACTATTGTTACTGCCGATGACGGAGGGAGATTTGTTGATCATTAGCAGAAATAAGCTGCAAATTTACTATTTCCCACTCTTCTCTTGCCTCAATCTCCTGTGTTACCCTCCAAAAATATAAATAATACCTTTGAAAAGATAAAAGCCTAATAATCATCCAGATGTGGCTTACCTTTTGCACCAAAATGCTGAGGTCAATTTTGAGAACATTGTTTAATTTTTCAAGATAGCGGCTTACATCTGGTAACTGTGGAAAGCAAATGGAGATTTTATTATTGCAATACAACTTGGACATTTATTAATACAACTTTAGTGATGTAATAGAAGTGCCTTGACTACAATTTGCTACTGAAGTTCCCATACAGTCCCACCAATGATACAGACAATATCATTCAAATTCTCATACATCTCTATGTTTCTTACCGCGCTGAAATTTGCATTGACTTGCAGCTGTGGAAGGGAATTCTTGATTTTGTTGCAAGGAATTATAGCAATGTCAGTTAAACATGCTGGATCACTAAGTGTGCTGTTCAGCTGTATCTTGGCATCTGTAAGGTTTGCATTTAGCCTGTCCATCACTTCCTGCAGCACTTCCACTGACACACTGACCTTCTCTAAAGCTTCCTTAGTCTCTTTGATTGCTAGGAAAGTAAACAGACATATCAGGGTTAGACTTTAGATAAAGATGGTTCTCAAAGAATAATGATTGGGTTAACCATAGCAAATAATCATATTTTATCTGTGTAGTGAGTTGCTGCAGTCAAAATGGTTTCACGTTTTAAGCTGCAGACTGGTACCTAGCTAAAATTACGGTAGATCAAGACTCGAGAAGAAAATTTTTGTCAGTCAAAGTTACTTTAATAGTTAGAGAATTAATGGCAAAACTTGTTTTTTTTTTTTTATTTTGAATAGAGTATAAAAAAGTGTGTTAAAGCTTTTTTTGGCCACACTTACTTTTGCCCTCCTATGACCCAAAGTCAACTTGTAGGCAGTTGTTTGACCTCCCTACATGGGTAGCACTGCTAGCAACCACCAAGCGGATAGAGTCGAGGACAGGAGCAACATGTTTCTCTTAGTCCTCAGTAGGCGTGATCAAGTGGGCAGCTGTCCGATTGGATGCTGCTGCCCCAGATGACTTCCGAGGCCATCTATAGCAAGGGCAGTTCTTATAAAAAGCACTGACTCACTGCAGTTGGGGCTCATTTTGCATGTCGTTAGGTCAGGGACAGGATCCCACTGGTTAGGGAGTTTGTGCCTAGCGTAGGGAGAGATTCCAGTGCAGGAGAGACAGAATAGGGACTGTTTGCCGGTTCTTCATTTAGGAGCCTTTCCACTAAAAGTGCCTTGTTGTACCACTGCCTGCTAGCTGCCTCCTCTGCCAGGTGTCGTCAGTATCCACGTATTGCTCTCTGCAAGTGCTGCATAGTTCTTTGTGAGTGTTGTTGTCATTTCAGTGCTGCCACATAGAATGTGTTATGGTGTTTAAGAAAATTCAAAAACCAAAAGCTAACAGCTCAATAGCTGCTATGCCCTACACCCACTTCCCAGTTTGTATTAGTTCTTCCTTTAATTATTGTTATTTAACAATGTGTAATTAACCAGAGAGTATACCCTTTTCAGGGTAGATACTGGGGTAAGGATGGAGCAGTTCAGGGCAGGGGCGGCATGGGTTCAAGGGAGCTTTTCCTGTCTAGCATTGGACTGCTACAATTAAAAATGTACATCAAGATTAGGAAAAGAAAGTTGTAGCACCAGGAACAAATAGTAACAAAGATGCAGCAGTCATTGATGACCATAGTTGTTAAAAAGTTCAACAGTATAGACCAACCTTTTCAACTTCTTCAACACAGAAAAACCCTTGAAATAACTTTCTAGTCTCAGGGAATATCTACAACTCATAATACATTAGTGTGATGATCATTGGGAAGTATGCGCCTTACACTTGTAGTCATTGATAAGAATTACCCCTTACAGATAGCTAAAAAGATCAATGGTGTCAGTAGGAATTTATCTGAGAGGCAGAAACTGTTCATTGCTCCGGTGAACCCCTAAGAACCTCTGGAGGAACCCTAAAGTCCCATGAAACCCTGGTAGAGATGATATGGGTGCTGCCATTGTCAACCTTCTGAAAATTCCTGGCTGCCTCCAGTCTCAATACTTTCTGAGTTACTAACCTTAGAACAAGCATACAATAAGTGAACTAATGATCCAAATTTTTGTTCTAGGTCAATGACACAAAAATAATCACTGATTTCGGCGTGATGGGCAATCAGCACTTTGCAGAAGAAGGTCAGCAAAAGCAGGCTTCATACCTCTGTGAAACAATACTCTGGAAAATAATCTTTTCTATTATCCTACATGCTGTGTATATCATTATTTGCAATGAAGTGAGGTCCTTGTACTGTATAATAAGGATGGTGAACATAAGCAGGACAGTAATAACAGAGTAATTCTCTCAGCAGACACTTTGATAATCGCTCTAAAGCAGAAGAGATGTGACAGAGTTTCCTCTTCATTTAATTCAGGACAGTCACATGCATCATCTTTATCACCCCATTGTGGAATAAGAGAGTCTTTAGTATAATTTATTGCTGGCTCTAAGATGCTGCGGTTATTGCTTGTAAAGTGAATCAATCTCATCAGACAAATACAGAAGACTAAGTGCTTCCTACATAATTAAACTTGTAGAAGTGTCAGTCATATTCTTGTAAGAGCGCTGTAGTTTTTAATAACAATGTTTAATATGAATAATTGATTATAACATCCATATTCAGCCCTGGAGCCTGACACTCCTTGCTTTAAATGCTGACAAATAAAACCGTTCAAACACACAGCTGAGTTTTTCATTTTGTTTTTGAGCATTTATAATGGGGACTTCCTAAATACCAAGTACATTCTTACTGTGCTACAATTGGAGTCCCTCTGTGATATATGCGGCTTTTGTCTAAGACTGAGACTTCTATTGCTTGAGTTGGACTAAAATAATCCCCAATTTTGTGGCCCTAACAGTCAGTGTGTGAAATACATTACAAGCTGTTGATTTAATCAGTACTGCCCTGACCCTGTCCATTTCAGCAGTTAGTATAACATCTCCCATATAATGAAGAAATAAAAATAATTACTGATAATTAATTGTAGCACAGTTTCAGATTTCTGGGAACTCCGGCCATTAATTAATGAATACCAGATAAACAGGATAATACTCTAGAGTTGTGCTTTAAGATTTTCTGTAAACCGAATATGAATCATCTGAACTAAGGTTGCTACAATACATTGTGGGATGTGGAAAATCCCATGGAATTTTAAAGACTCTTAAAGTCTACCATATGTGGTTAGACATCGCATGGTGCCTGCTATCCTACTTTATGAGTCATAAATGTCCTGGTTTTTACTTGTGTGACCAATATAAGGATTATTAATGACAACTGTATAATATAAGTGTTATGGCTTGAGCAATTAAAGTTTCATCATGGCAAAATGCAGATTGATGCACCAAAAGCACATAGTGCAAAACAATTTGATGGTTTAAACAGGCACCAATAAAACCATGTCTAGAGTTATGCTTTGATGGCTCCTAAAACGTGAACTGATTTTCACAAATTTCATAATAATAAAAAGAGACTAACTTCTTTAACAAACACCATATTTTACATATACATATCTTTAATATTAGTAATGTTACAGGATGAAAAATAACATGAACCTTTATATTTAATAGCCAGCTAAACATTCTTTGTAAAAAGCCAATTTATGTAGCTGTTTTTGGCCAATTGATGTACTGTATATATGCATTCAGCTGTAGCTATTGTTGGCCAATTGGTGTACTGTATACATGCATTCAGATGTAGCTTGTGTTGGCCAATTGATGTACTGTATACATGCATTCAGATGTAGCTGTTGTTGGCCAATTGGTGTACTGTATGCATGCATTCAGATGTAGCTGTTGTTGGCCAATTGGTGTACTGTATGCATGCATTCAGATGTAGCTGTTGTTGGCCAATTGGTGTACTGTATACATGCATTCAGATGTAGCTGTTGTTGGCCAATTGGTGTACTGTATGCATGCATTCAGATGTAGCTGGTGTTGGCTAGTTGGTGTATATAAGAATTAGGTGCTATTTGGCTCATTTTAGTTCATGCATAATATTAGGAAGTCTGGACTGCTCAGATTCCCCAACTGTATGCCAGTGGGACTGAAGTTGGGATGCTAAGGTATTTATTATAAAAAAAAAAAGTACATTAAAGTAACTCAGTTCATTTTATGTTTTGGATTACAGACAGATACCCTTGTAGAGTTGTAGAATTCCATGGAGCATAACCAATTGGAAACTGGCCAGGACTCTTCGCTCACAAAACAGCCATATAGCAGGATACTTGCACCTCCAAAACAATGGGGATTAAAATATGGTGTTTAGCAGTGTTTTGATTTTTCTATTCCTAACACTATGTCTATTTGTCCTAAAGTCATCCTTTGCCTTATCTATATACAGATTATTGTCCATATGGTATGGAACATCTAAGTGGCCTTTGTTGGTATGGCAAGGGCAGCAATATTTTATGGAAGAGTATATTCCAGTGTTTTTCTCATGGTGAACTGTTGGTCACTGCTCTGTCCCCTCACATTGATGGTTAGTAGAAGGGCCACTATACAATGGGAGTCAGTGGGAAGAATACCTCTTTTATTTGGGGTTAGTGGGAATAATGCTTCTTACAGTATGACGTCAATGGCTACTTATCTGAGGAACTAAAGGAGAGACTCTACTGACTCCACTTGGTTGCACTTGCTCTGTAGGGTAATGCTAGCCCTGAAACTATGCAGAAGGCATGGAAATCAATTTGCCACTGCAGAGTTCTAGTAACCTCTGGAGGAGGCGTAGCCACATGGGGTACCCACACCCTGGAAAGTTATTTCATAGTCACAGAGCTCTAGCATAGCAAGGGCATCTGAGAACTGATTTATTCTTTTATGTTGCTTTAATACATACAAAACATAAACTGTAACAAACCACCACACTCTTCTTAACCAGCTAGCTCAAGGAACAGAATACTCAGACGAAGCACAGCACAACTAGGCATATGCCACTATTACTGTACACCACATAACCTTTTTTAAAGAGACATTTTACCTTTAATTGCCCTTTCCACTTTGACTACAAATCCAAAAGAAAAGAAAATAAACCAAGAACATAAAATGTAAACAATATATGAACACTGTAACAGTAAACAAATGTATGAAACACAAATCAAAAAACAAGGTAAGACTATTCTTAAAATTAACCCAACTTGCCTACAAAGTAACAATATGGCTGATGTGCTGACAGCTCTGTCAAGTGGCGATGGACCTGGAACCATGAAGGCACCATCAGATGGAAGGGCAATCATCCAGAGCTCAAGGAATCCCTGGTTGAGAATGCCTGGTCTAGTGTTGGGGCTCCTAATGCCAAATGAGGTTCTGCTATTTAAACAATAAGGAATCATTACCTAAGCATTAGGATAAATGGGACTTGACTTGGAGACAGGTCAAAACCAAGTGTACAGCCCGATCCTAGAATACAAGAGACTCTACAAGGACTGATCCAGGGGCGGACTGACCATTCAAGCACTCGGGCACTGCCCGAGGGCCCAGGGTCAGTAGGGGGCC